TTGAGTGCCCCTGACTTCAATCCCTGATACCCCCCCCCAAAAAAAATTAATGCCCCCATGGGACCCATTCCACTGGCCCACTGGTAACTATTAGATCTGTTTTTCCTTTGAATAAAATGTTTTTTATTTTAACTAGTTCACAGTGAATCTCACCACCACGTATATCCACAAGAAATTAACTTTAAAAAATAACTGTGGGTAAATGGCAGAAAGATCAATAGAGAGCAGGGAGATGGGGTGGGGAGAGGGAAGGGGAAGGAGAGGTCCTGGGGTCTGAATTAGAACAAGATATATTCCATACTTTTATAATTATGTCAAAATGGATTCTACTGTCATGTAACTAAAAAACCAATAAAAAAGACAGCATGAAAAAATACATACTATCTCACTGATAATATTTTATATTGATTATATGTTGAAATAATAATATGCTGGATATATTGGTTATATAAAAATACATTAGGGCTGGGGTTGTAGCTCAGTGTCAGAGTACTTGCCTCACACATGTGAGGCACTGGGTTTGATCCTTAGTACCACATAAAAACAACAACAACAACAACAAAAAAAGGTATCATGTCCATCTACAATTAAAAAAATACATTAATTTAAAAAAGATAAGAGTATTGCACAATGAATGTTGTATTTCTGTCACTCTTCTCTATTGTCCTATTTTCCAATTGATTTTTCTCTAAGCTTTTGTTGGGAAGGCTGTCAAGAGCCATCAACATGTATTGTTTCACGTTTTTGATCATCTATGTTGTTGATGATGATAAATATAGAAATATGGAGATAGTGTATAGGGACCATAACAAAACCATATTTCTTCTCCTTCAAATTTATCATGCAGGAGCCAGTGAGTTCACTCCTTCAAACAAAGTTTCAAAAAACTTTGTTGGGGGGTTAGAAAATAAAATAGTGTGGCAAATGAAGATACAGGAGTAAATGCTGTCTGTAAACTTAGAATAAATAATCTTATGTTCTAGGGTGGTGAATGTGTAATTCATTTGTGCAACCAAATAATTACTAAAGGATTTTTCAAAGTATCTGACATACTGCTGTTATGTTAGAAGCTTGCCCTCTAACTGGGGAGCCAGGCCATGCTAGCTGAAAAGTTAAATAATGATACAAAATAACATCAATTGCTTTGTGTGTGTGTCAGGGGGGAGGGGTAACCAGGGATTGAACTCAGGAGACTCAACCCCTGAGCCCCATCCCCAGCCCTATTTTATTTAGAGACAAGGTCTCACTGAGTTGCTTAGGGCCTCACTTTTTGGTGAGGCTGGCTTTGAACTCTCCTGCCTCAGCCCCCACCCCCAAGCCCCCCACCCCCCCACCCCCGAGCCACTGGGATTACAGGCATGTGCCACTGTGCCCAGCATCAAATACCTATTAAATTCCTCTCAATGCATCTATGCAACAGATCTATAAAGAAGAACTACAATAATTATACAGGTAAGGAAACTGGAGACTGAGTACATTATTTAGTGCCATGTGGCTAAGTGGTAGGGCTGGGACGTAACACAGTTATATCTGAAGGCAAAACTTTTGCTCTCAAATGTAATTCAGTACTGCTTTCCAACCCGACTAATTCCCATTCTCTCATCCTCAGGATTGGCCTGGTTTCACTCCTCTAGTAGGGACTGTATTAGTCATCTATTGCTGTATAACAAACCACAAGTTCAGTAGGTTAAAACAACCCTCATTTATGAGTTTATAGTTCTATAGTTCAGAAGTCCAATACCCTGTGGCTGGCTTCTCTGCTCAGGGTGTCACAGGACTGAAATCAAAGTGGCTGCTGGACTGAATTTTCATCTGAAGATTCTGTGTAAAAATTCCCTTCCAAGCTCATTCTTGTTGGCAGAATTCAATTCATTGTGGTGGCACATTTGAGATCCCTGTTTCTTTGCTGGCAGTCATCCAGGGACCACTCTTAGATCTTAGAGTCCCCTGTATTCCCTGTCATGTGCCCCTTTTCTTCTTCAAGCCAGAAATACCACAGCAAATCCTTCTTGGGCTTCAAATTTCTGACTTCCTACATCTCAGACTTTAGACCCAGATGTAAAGAGTTTGCATGATTGGGTCAGGCCCACCCAGATAATCTCTCTTTTAAAGTCAATTTGGGACTTTAGTTACTTCTGCAAAAATCCCTTTTGCCCTATAACAAAATCAGGAGAGTGATATTTCCTCATAGTCCCAGGTTCCATTCAAACTCATGGGGGAAAGATGATATAAAGTCATAATATCACAAGGACTCTTAGAAACTAGGGAGGAATGTGGCAGTTGGAAAATTGGAAAGGGTATTTCCTTAAAACTGTAAAGGACACAAAGTATTAAAACAACTTGAAAAAAGCACAAAAGACAATGAAACCATACAAGAAAACAAAGATGGGCAGTTTTTTTTTTTTTAATTTTTAACCAACAGAAATGTAAAATAAGTTATTTCAGATAGGAAAATCTTCTTTTGATGGCTCGAGTCACTGCTCGGTTTACTGGTGAACACTGAGTCACTGCTGATGAGGTTGGTGCTCTGCCATCTTCCCCAGGCACTGGCAGTTGCAATAAATAGGCAGCTGCCTCCTGCTAGCACCTGTCATTCTCTGCCTGGGGGTTTTCCTTTAGCCCTCTCCTGGGGCAAGTCTGAAATACTAGGGAGTTGAACCATGAGAGCATCCCTTAGCCAATGATGGGGGAAATTTGTTGGATGATCACCCAAGTTTCCTAATCCCTTGGGTAAAAACCAAAAAACAACAAACAAACCCCAAACCAGAAAACCTTTTGGACAAAACCTATTGTCTCCCAGAGTTCCCTGATGTATTTGAGCCCACTGATATGTGCTAGTGGTAACTGAGACGATAAAACACCCTTTATTGGTTTCTCCTGAGGCTTTAATTCTACTGTCTTTATTGTGACTACCTTCCAGATAAAGTACTTACATTTAAATTCTTATCTTAGGTTTTTAGGCACTTAACACAATAGTGACTGTATCCTTGCATTTGATTTGATGGAGAAGGGCATTAACCTTTTATAGACAAATAGACTTATATCCCAGTCAATGTGAGATTTTAATTTTGTTTTCTATAAAAAGAGGACAATAAGGGGCTGAGGCTGTAACTCAGTGCTAGAGTACTTGCCGAGCATGTATGAGGCCCCGGATTTGATCCCCAGTACCATGAAAAAACACAATAATGTTATGTCATCGCATCAAATGAGGTAATGATTATGATAAACTACCTGGCTCATAGAAAGCACTTAATAAGACCTAATTTTTTTCTTCTTTTTCTGGAATCATTGGTCTCTTCCTTCCTAGTACTTCTTCAATTTTTCCAGGAGTCAGCTCTCATGGTTTAAGCAGCCAGCCCTGTCTGGGTGTGGCTCACTGAGACATAGTGGAAGAAGCACAATTTTTCATGCAGTTATATTTTTCCATAAAATTAGAACATTTTATTAACAATAAGTAAGCCAAATATCCAACACCACTAATTTAAATCAAATAGATCCAGATATTTAAAATATCTAAGATATTTTGGTGCTTTACTCTCCCATTATCTGTCTGTCTGTCTGTCTCTCTCTTTTTTTGGTACCAGGGATTGAACTCAGGGGCACTCAATCACTGAGTCACATCCCCAGCCCTGTTTTGTATTTTATTTAGAGACAGGGTCTCACTGAGTTGCTAAGTGCCTTGCTTTTGCTGAGGCTGGCCTTGAACTTTCGATCCTCCTATCTCAACCTCCCGAGTCATTGGGATTACAGGCGTGTGCCACCACTCCTGGCCCCAAATGCTACTTTTAATGTCAATGTAATCCTGTGAGATACGAAATATTGGTATATTGGTATAAATTCTATTGTCAGATAGCCCAGGTTTAAGTCTCATCTCCGCCACTTACTGGCTGTGTGACCTAAGGCAAGGAAATCTCTTTATGCCTTTATTTCCTCATCTGTTGTGTAGGATAATAATGATATCTCCTTAATGGGATTTTTTTTTTCTTATTTTACTGGGAATTGAACCCAGGAGCACTTAATCACTGAGCACATCTCTAGGCTTTTATTTATTTAGTTAGTTTGAGACAGGGTCTTGCTAAGTTGCTGAGGCTGGCCTCAAACTTGCAATCCTTCTGCTTCAGCATCTCAGCCACTGGAATTATAGGTGTGTGCCACCATGCCAGACTATTCTTGTTATTTCTATCTATTATTATTTGTTCAGTGACCCCCCTTGTGATGTCTCTGACCAACATAAGCAAGTGGACCCCTTTTACTCTTCCCTCGCTGTGGATGTTCTAGAAACAGTGCTGTTTTTTTTTTTTTTTAACTATTCACTTGCTGTACAACTTTTCACTTGTCTGTGTCCCTTCTAGACTGTATATTCACAGGTGTGTGAGGTCAGGCCTACTCTTTATTAACTTCTACATTCTCTGCTTATTGCATAAACTAATTGGAACTGGAAACTACATGGTTAGATATGTTTTCTATCCAAATTCACATTTTTATACAATTAAGCAATGGATTCTAAGTGAGACTGTGTCACTGGTATGAGAACAGGAAATATTTGTTAAGCCAGTCACATTTCTTACTGGCTGTTTGATAGGGAAGATGATTATATCTCTCTGAGCTTTAGTTTCCTCATCTATCAAATGACTAGAAGGATAAAATTTATAGGGTGGTACTGAAAACTAAATGACATGATACAGGTCAAATGTCTGGCACAAAGACTTCATGTTTGTTTGCTTTTTTTTTTTTTTTGTATCAGGGATTGAATCCAAGGGCACTTAACCACTGAGCTACATCCCCAGCCTTTTAAATTTAATTTAATTTTTTTTTATTTAGAGACAGGTTCTCACTACATTGCTTAAGGCCTCGATAAGTTGCTGAGGCTGGCTAGAACTTATGATCCTCCTGCCTCAGCCTCTCAAGCCACTGGGATTACAGGCATGTATCACCACACCTGGCCTACAAAGACTTGTTGATAATAATTTCTTTTCCACTCTTTTCTCCTTAATCCAAAGTGCTGCTCAACAAGAATTCGAAGACAACTGGACAGAAACCTCACCTTTCATAAAATGGTGGCGTGGATGATAGCACTTCACACTGGTAAGTTTATTAAGACAATTGAAATTGGGCAGAAAAATTGGAATCAGAGAGTTCTTTCTATTCTTTTTTTTTTTTTTTGGTACCAGGGATTGAACTCAGGGGCACTTGATCACGGAACCACATCCTCAGTCCTATTTTGTATTTTATTTAGAGACAGGGTCTCCCTGAGTTGCTTAGGGCCTCACTAAATTGCTGTGGCTAGCTTTGAACTCATGATCCTCCTGCCTCAGTCTCCCGAGCTACTGGAATTACAGGCATGTGCCGCTGTGCCCTGCAGAGAGTTCCTCTCTGTTCTTGAAAACCTACGTGTTAAGAGATCAGCCTTTACAGGTTGATTATGCTGTGGTCAGATATGCTGTATTTTTTAATGAGTTCTGTTCAAAAGTATTCATGACTGTTTCTGGTAATTAGGACTTATTCCTTTAGGTTTAAAGTTTTTCATTTTAGGATCTTCCTATAAATTAAAATGTGCCATAGGAAAAGTCAATCCTGGTGTCCTAACACTTTCTCATTTTTTTTTTTTAGTATTAAAATGTTTGTTACTGGGAGTGCTATGCCTGTAATCATAGAGGATCAGGAGGCTGAGGCAGGGGGATCACAGGTACAAAGCCTCAGCAACTTAGCAAGGCTGTAGGCAACTTAGTGAGACCCTGTTTCAAAAAAGGCAGGGGAGCAGAGAAGCTGGGGATATGGCTCAGTGTTTGAGCACTCTTGGGTTCAATTCTTGGTACCAAAAAAAAAAAAAAAGTCTGTTAATCCACATATGACAGCTTTTATTTATCCTACAGAATTGCCTGGTTATACATGTTGATTTTTTTTATAGTAAACCTATGGGAATATTAGCTCATAAATTGAGAATCCCTTAAGAAAGCACTTATCAGCTAAGCATTTCATTATTGTTATTTTATTATCATATATATATATATATTAGATATATGTGTGTACATACATTACATGTTGTTATTATAATTATTAAGGTGGTAGTGGTACAAGACAGGGTGTGCCTAGGACCTTATCCAATCTCCATTAATTCATTTAGTAAATAATTCATGTGCCAGGCAGTAGACATGTACTGAACAAACCAGGCTTTTACTCTGCCCTTAAGTTTATCCCTGAGTAAAAGAGGCTTAGTTTATAGGCATTGGACTGGGTTCCTCTTTTCCTACCAGATCACACAGGCTTTTTGAGTCGTAGCAAATGAAATCTTTCAAAACAAATTTCTGAGCCAGGTGCAGTGGTACACGCACACCTATAATTCCAGCAGCTCAGGAGGCTGAGGTGGGAGGATCTCGAGTTCAAAGCCAGCCTCAGCAAAAGTGAGGTGCTAAGCAACTCAGTGAAACCCTGTCTCTAAATAAAATACAAATAGGGCTGGAGATGTGGCTCAGTGGTCGAGGGCCCCTGAGTTCAATCCCCCGTATGCCCCGCCCCCCCCCAAAAAAGGAATGTCTGCCAAAATTCTGTTACAAAGATTGGGAGTCAAATTGGTAAGAAAATAGGTTTCATTCAAAGCCAGCTTTGAGGGATTGGTGACCCTGGGCAAGGTTTTATAGCAGTCTATACTCTAGTCTCCTCATCTGTGAGAGGAGCTGTTATTAAGTGCATCTACATCAACAGGTCAGGGTAAGGATTAAGTCATCATAATGCACCTATAACAGTGTTTGGCATCTGGTAGATGCTGTGTAAGTGAAATAAAGAAATGCAATTTGTTTTTTCCTTAAGAGGTTCATACCGGTGGCCATTGGTTTGTACCAAAGCACTCACATTTGTCATCTCTCTCTGGAGGTAATTATGGAGTCAGGTGAATGGGCCAGCTATTAGGCATATATAAAGAATTCTCTTGTTTGAGCATAAATATATTAAGGAGGGAGAGAGAATGAGGGCATATCTAACCCTCTCAGAGACTGAGGCTATTTTGTAGTGTCACAGGAGAAGACGTGCCTGAGAAGAAGGGTATGAGCAGTGTCCAGAGAGAAGGGAGAACCCGATCCCCGACCAGTGGGGTTCTTGGCATACATAATGGAAAGAATTTTAGCACATGCCAGTCAGAGGCATAGACAGGTTTATTTAAGAAAATAGGTGCACATTCAAGGGATAATGGGGGCCATCTCAAGGAGGAGATGCATTTTGGGGGTTCCCAGCTCTGCTTTAAAGGAAACTTGGAGAGGGGCGGGTATGGAAAGGTATGTAGGAATGATATCAGTCCAGTTATCTCAGGATGGGTTCTTGTGGTCTGGTCAATCTCTGTATCCTTAGGCTAATGTGATCTTTGTTATCTGATCAATAGATAACTCTGGAAAGTACCCTAAGTTATAGGTTCCTCATTATATCATATATCTCTCTTTGCTTAATCTGATTATTGGAAGGGTTGATTATCAGTGTACAGGTAGATTTACAGATTTCTCAGGAAGGTGGAAGTAGCAGGCCTGGAAAAGTATGTGGAACTCTGAATTAAAATTCTATATTCTTGTCCTTCCTTTATATCTCCTTTCTATCTCTCATTTCCTCTATCCTACCTCAGTAGATTCTCAAAATTGATTGAATCTTTAGGAGTATGTAGCTCAACACCTTTATTTTACAAATGAGGAAACCAAGATCAGAGAGGTTAAGTGATTTCTCCATAACCACAAAGCAGAAAGGAGCTTACCCACTATTAATGGTATTAACCATTAGCACCCTGGGGAAAGAGGCTAAGCTATACTGCTTGCTTATTGCTCCACAAAAATTGAGAATCAAATTGGCAGGAAAATAGCCAGTTTTGAAGGAAGGAATTTCATATTTCATAAGGAGTCTGTTTCACCTCTAGAATAGCTTTGCCTCTCTGGGTTATGAAGAGTCAGTTCTTGTTTATTAGCATCCTAGGCCACCTCTGTGTCTCTGTGACTTATCATAGAGTCAGAGGCTATGGCCTGAAACCCAGATCATACTACATTTGTGCAAATGCCTCACCCTCTTTGTTTTTCTTCTCTGCTCTCTTTAGCAATCCATACCATTGCACATCTGTTCAACGTGGAGTGGTGTGTGAATGCCCGAGTCAATAACTCCGACCCTTATTCAATAGCTCTCTCTGAAATTGGAGACAAAGAGGGTGAAAATTATCTCAATTTTGCTCGAGAAAAAATTAAGGTAAGCCTCTCTTTTCCTGATTTAGAAGTCCCCTAAGCTGTTAAAACAGGATTTCATTGAGTGAAGAACTCAGCTTGGCTGGAACAATAACATCTCAAAATATAAATAAAGAAATCAATAGAAAGGGCTGGGGGTGTGGCTCAGTGGTTAAACATCCCTGGGTTCAATTCCTTGTAACAAAAGCAAAAATAAAAATAAAAAAAGAACTGATAGAGGGCAAATCTGGCCTGCTTGGATTAATTTGCAGACCCCCACCCCAGATTACTATTCCTCCAGATAACTATTCCCTATCCCAGATGTTGGTGTTCTACAAAGTACTTTCATGAATTAGGGAGCACCCTGGCCTAAGTGTTACCATCAGGCCAGCCACTGGCAGACAGTTGACAGTGATCTTTTGTTCTTTTTTAACCTACAGCATCTGAGGGGTGGCCTGTGTCTGCTACTTTGCATTCCTTGGTACATTAAGAGTTAGTTCAGTGCTTTCTTTCTTTTTTTAAAAAAATATCTTTATTTTACATTTATGTGGTGCTGAGGATCAAACCCAGTGCCTTGTGCATGCCAGGCAAGTGCTCTACCACTGAGACACAACCCCAGCCCAAGTTCACTGTTTTCTTGGGCAGCCATGAGGGTATCCAGAGGCAAGGACTTCTCCTGTCCCAGGAGATGTCAAAGCTTATTAGAGAAGCTCCAAGCCAATTTCATATGCCCAATGGCTTGGGAAGATGGCTAAATCTCATAACTATGCATTAAATTTCAAACATGTTTTTTTTTTCTGTTCAGAAAAGATCACAAGAGAAGACATTTAATTTTGCTCAAATTCATATCCTCAAAGTGACATGAGAGAAAAATTGCCTGATCTTCTTAGGGACAGAATTAAACAGCATCAAACAAAACAAATTCTTTTCCTATGATATCTTGAATAATTATTCTTTTAATTGTTCATTGTTTGCCCAGTAATAATAAGGGCCACAAAATGAACACAAGGGTGAGCTGACACTGCCACACTCTGACCAGATCTCCTTCAGTCACCTGTACTGTACCTGTGCTTCCTCGGAGTGTGTTCAATGACCTGTACCTGGGTTTCCTTCTGCAAAAACTGCCCTGGGACTACTAGCATCCCTTTGCCCAAAAGTTCAGACATCTGAAAGGGCCTGGTTAGTTATCTCTCCCTGGGTAGCCCTTGGCCAACAACTAATGAGAGAAGACCACAGTAGTCCAGCTTCTTCAGGATAAACTCTGAGGTGTAACTTCCTCCAGAGTTCCCCTGCAGGATAGAGCTGAAGCTTTCCCCTGTGAAACTTATTCTGAGACCATCCCCTTGCTTAGCTTTTTGTTTTATCTTGTTCTATTCTTTGTTCCCTTTACAGTTTCCCTTGAGGTCCATTCTTCATAATGAATTCTTTTATTTATTTATTTTTTGATACCAAGAATTGAACCCAGGGACACTTAACCACTGAGCCACATCCCCAGCCCTTTTTATACTTTATTTAGAGTCAGGGTCTGGCTAAGTTGCTTAGGGCCTCGCTAAATTGCTGAGACTTGCTTTGAACTCAAGACTCTCCTGCCTCAGCCTCCCAGAGCCACAGGGATTACAGGGGTGCACCACTGCACCTGGCTATAATGAATTCTTGCTCATGGATCCTCATCTCAGGGTCTACTTCTGGGAAATCCAGCCTAAGATGTATTTATAAGTCTATAAGCACTGTGGCCTTTTCCAAATAAAAGGGAGAAAGAACTTCAGAAAGTTCTAGGTCATCTTTTAGTCAATGATTTATTTTATATTCCCTTAAAACTGTCTAAGCTGGGTACAGTGGTACGTCTGTAACCCCAGTGGCTCAGAAGGCTGAGACAGGAGGATTGTGAGTTCAAAACCAGTCTCAGCAATTGAGCAAGGCCCTAAGCAACTTAGTGAGACCCTGTCTCTAAATAAAATACAAAATTGGGCTGGGGATGTGGCTCAATGATTAAGCGTCCCTGGGTTTAATCCCTGGTATCAATTCATATTTTCTATGATTCCCCAACCATGTAAGTTTCCTTTAAAATTTAGAGATATCTACTCTGTGTCTATATGTTTCTATGAGGGGTGATTAGTATTATCCAATGGGGGGGGAGATGAAAACACCTATTGTCCTGTATACTGGACACTTTGTGAATGGGCAGTCTTGCATCTGAGAGCCTACAATAATGTGTGTGTGTATGTGTGTGTGTGTGTGTGTGTGTGTGTGTGTGTGTGTGTGTGTGCATATTTTACAGAACCCTGAAGGAGGCCTGTATGTGGCTGTGACTCGCTTGGCAGGCATCACTGGAATTGTTATAACACTGTGTCTTATCTTAATTATCACCTCCTCTACCAAAACCATCCGGAGATCTTACTTTGAAGTGTTTTGGTATACACACCATCTCTTTGTGATCTTCTTCATTGGTCTTGCCATCCACGGAGCTGAGTAAGTTTTAATTCCAAAGCCAAGGACTTTATGTCATTCAATTTCCAGGTGTGGTGCCCTACTAGACATGGTGACTTCCTTACTTATGTGTGGTCAGCCTGTCTGCAGAGGTCAGTTCAATAGAAATCAGTTAGCACACTTGTAGTTTCTTACACACAACTAGTTGCTATTTACAGTGCAGGTATTTATAGCAAGCTTGAAAAATACAACCAAGCCTGAGTATTTTTGCTAGTGTATAAAACATATTGAACCAGATGAGGTGGTGCTTGCCTGTAATCCTAGAGACTCCAGAAGCTGAGATCGGAGGATTGCAAGTTCAAGGTCAGCCTCAGCAATTTATGAAGGCTCTAAGCACCTTAGCTAGACCCTGTCTCAAAATAAAAAATAAAAAGGGCTGGGGTGTGACTCAGTGGTTAAGCACCCCTAGCTTCAATCCTCAGTACCAAAACCAAAATCAAAACAAAAACACAACAACAAAAATACACAAATAAACAAACAAAAAACATATCGAGAGCACTGGTATGGTCTATAGTATTGTCTCCTGTGGTTCAATCACTAATGAATTAGAAAAACTCCCAAGGCAGAGTGGTTAACGATGTGCTAGTTGAACAGGTTTGTTGTAGTTCATTGGGTTTTGATTTAAGCCAACCATTATTTCTTGGTTACCTACTGCATATGAGGACCTAGCTCAGTACTGTGGGGAGTATTAGTCAGAAAAATCTGTGGTTCTTACCTTCTAACATTCTAATATAATAAAGGTAGCAGTGAACTTCTATTGAACATTTGTTCTCTATCAGGCTCTATGCTAAGAATTTGGCATGAAATGTTTCTTTTAATCCCCCCCAAATGAATAATTGTTCTCACTATCCCCATTTCTGGGGAATGGTAATTGTAGACAAGGAATCTGAGGATCAAAAAGATAAATTTTTGCTAGCTACGCTTCTGTTAGGAGATATATATATAATTCAAAACACTTAACACCAAAAAAAACCCAATTAATAAACAGACATTTTTCAAAAGAAAAAAGAAAAAAATACAAATTAGGGAAATGCAAATCAAAACTACACTGAGATTTTAATCTCATATCAGTCAGAATGGCTGTCATCAAGAGTACAAATAGTAATACATATTGAAGAGGATATAGAGAAAAGGGAACTCTTTAACACTGTTGGTGAGATTGTAAATTGGTACAACCATTATGGAAGTCAGTGTGGAGGTTGCTCAAAAGACTAGGCATGGAACCACCATAGGACCTAGCTATATGCTCTTTGGTATTTGTCTAAAAGAACTAAAGTCATCATACTCTCGTGATGCATGCATACCCATGTTTATTGCAACACAATTCACAATAGCCAAAATATGGAAACAGCCTAGGTGTCCATCAATGGATGAATGGACACAGAAAACGTGGTATAGGTACACAATGGAGTTTTATTCATCCATTAAGAAAAAATGAAATTGTCATTTGCAGGAAAATGGATAGAACTGGAAGCCTTTATTTTAAACAAAATAAGCCAAATTCCAAAGGTCCAGGGTCACATGTTTGCTCTCCTATGTGGAAGCCAGAGAGGAAAAAGGAAAACAAAGGTGAAGGGCAGGGATCTCATGAAAATCAAAGGGAGAGCAGTAGAGGAAAGGTATCAAAAGGTGGGGAGTGGGGAGGGAGGGGGAAGTGCTGGGGAGGGGTGTGGGCCAAGTTATAGTGCTATACTCTGTGCTTGTGTGAATCCCATCATTTTATACAACTAAAAATGAACCAATAAAAAATGTGGAAGCAGAAAAAAAATATGTAGGCCAGGCCACCTTGGCTGGTAAATGGCCTAGAATAATAGTGGCTTAAAGGGAACTGTGATGAACACCCTCATGGAGATACAGAGCTTGCTCGGGAGGAACCCTCTTTAATACCAGGCTTCCTTTTCTGCTGTTTCACATCACCTGCTCGCCAAGGCAGGCCCAGGGAAGTTCCCTGGTGGCTACAGAGTTCCAGGAAAGTAGGAGTGGGGGAGGTAGATACTCAAACAGTCTGCCCAGAGCCAAGTCAGTCTAGCTGTGGCCAAGACTTAAGTGTGAAAAGGGGAAGGGTGGGGAGAAGCACCCTTGAGCAACCTCTGCATGCATTCTTAACCCACTTCCTCACTCTGATCCTTGATAAACTCTTTCTAAGCACTGAGAAATCCATAGAACAAAAAGTAAAGCAGAACAAAACAAAACAAAAAACCTCTCAACTCTCCAAAAACAATTGAATATTAATTTATTTATTTTGGTACTGGGGATGGAACCCAGGGGCTTAACCACTGAGCCACATATTTTTGATTTTGAGACAGAGCCTTGCTAAATTGCTTAGGCCCTCACTAAATTGCTTAAGGCCTCTCTAAGATGCAGGAGCTGGTCGTGAACTTGCAATCCTCCTACCTTAGCCTCCCAAGCTGCTGGGATTACAGGAAGTTACATGATTTTTGTACCCACAAATAAAGTACTTCTGCTAAGTCTCAGGGCCACTATGTATGACTGAATAGGTTGTCCACTACACAAGGGTGCCCAACCAAAGAGAGGCAAGGTAGCTGGCTAATCCCTTTGCCTGCAGGACTGCCCTCACAGAAGGGGAGCCTTTTATTCTAATATACACAAAGGCACTGTTTAGGCTAGTAGCCACCCTGTAGATTTGAAGTTTTTTGGTTTCTATTTTTTGTAAATGAAAATAATCTCAAGGCAGAAGCACATATTCTCTCTTTAAGAAAATTCATATTGATGATCCAAGATCTGCTCTCTACGGTAAATGCAGATATTCTTTGTGCCATTGAACACTTTTTTTTCCCCATTGCTTAGGATCACATATTTTGCTGTTATGTGGTGGTGTATGACTTAATCCCAGAGACTTGGGAGGCTGAGGAAGAAGGATCACAAGTTCAAGGACAGTCTCAGCAACTTAGCAAGACCCTGTCTCAAAATAAAAAATTAAAAGGGCTTGGGATGTGACTCAGTAGTAATGCATGCCTGGGTTCAATACATAATGTAAAAAAAAAAAAAAGGAAAAATTGCGTATTTTCTTTCTTCTAATCTATTTCAGGGGTGATAAGAAGATACAGCTTTTAAGTAAAAACTACAGGACCCATGTTAGGGGTACTTAAAATATGCAGAATATCTGGCTGGGGACATATTCATTGCCTAGTGCAAGTGGGGCCCTGGGTTCAATCCCCAGCACTGAAAGAAATAAAAAAGAAAAAAAAACCCTCAAAACCCAGAATTAAAAAACACAGATAGCTTAATTTCTTGCTACTAAATGAATTAGTTGCATGTTTTTCTTCTAGACGGATTGTACGTGGAGAGACTGACAAGAGTTTGAATTACACTGGGAAAAATTCATGTAAAGACAATATCACACAGTGGGGAAAACCAGGCTGCCCAGTTCCGGACTTCGCTGGGAATCCTCCTATGGTATGTACAACTCATTGTTGCTATTAAAGTTTTATTACTGTCAGTCTTTAAACTATGTCTAAGATGTGCACAAATGTCATAGAGTTGTCTGTTACAAATGTCACAGAACTTCTAGGTTGTCAAATCTAGTTTTCTCTTCTATATTTATTGGCTAGAATTCTTTCTTGAAAGAATTTTTTTTTTTTGCATTGATCTGTTATCAATGGCCTGAAAGAAAACTTGGCAAAGCAGCGTTTTAAAATTGTTGTTTGGTGCCGTGCACCTGGTGGGGCACACCTATAATCCCAGAGATTTAGAAGGCTGAGGTAGGAGGATCACCAGGTTCAAGACCAGTCTCAATATCTTAGTAAGGCCCTAAACAATATAGCAAGACCCTGTCTCAAAATAAAAAATAAAAAGGCCTGGGGATGTGGCTCAGTGGTTAAGGGCCCTGGGTTTAATCCCCAGTACCAAAAACAAAGAAACAAAAAAAGATTATGGGTTCAAGAAGTTCCATCTCTTTTCTTTTGGATATGAAGACCACAAAAACATCAGTTAGTGCTTTTCACAAAGACTGTTAAAGATTCCATCCTGAGCTGATAAATCCCTCATAAGCAACTAGAGGCCTCTTCAGATACCAGGAAATAAGACTTTCTATAAGGCTTTCAGAACTGGGAAGAAAATTGATGATGTGACACCCTGCAATGCCTTTAGGGATTAGGAGGTCCAGTCTTTCAGGCCTGAAGGAGGCTGGAAAGCTAGGTTCACACAAACACCCAATGGCACCATGTGACGGAGCAAGAGTGTGGTACTGGTGACTGAGGGTAAAAAATACTTCCTTTTCATATAAGGAGTTCTGAAGGGCTCCTCTTCGTGTTTCCTCAAAATCTCTGCTCCATAAAGTGAGAAGAGGGACTTGTAATTTTTCTATCTTTCCCCTCATTGACAGACAGTATACCTTATTGGTTCTTGTGCTAGCCATTTATTATGGTTTGGATATGAGGTGTCGTCCCAGTGCTCCTGTGTTAATGCAGAATCATGAGATAGAATGATTAGATTATGAGAGCTGCAACCTAATCCCTCTGTTCTACTTTGAATGGACTGACGGGGTGGTAACTGTAGGTGTGGGGGTGGGGTGTGACAGGAGGAGGTGGGTCATGGGGTGTGTCTGGAATGGTTCCTTTTCCCTGCGGCCCCTACTCTCTCCTCTTTCTGCTTCCTGACCACCACGAGGTGAACAGCTTCCCTCTGCCATACCCTTCTGCCATGATGTTCTGTAGCAATGGACTTGGTTGACCACGTACTAAACCTCTGGAACCTTGAGCCCAAATAAACTTTCCCTCTTACAAGTTGCTCTTGTCAGATATTATGGTCACAGTGGCAAAAAGTTGATTAAAACACCATTGCTATAAAATTGGACAAGAATCATCATTTGTACAAGGGATTCTGGATAGGATTATTATTCTTTTCTTATACACAGTATGACATAAAAGCATATTTTGCATCCCATTTTCTCCCTTTTTCCTACTCTCTTAGCATAGGAATACCCTTCCCCCAGATGCAGCATACTATGAAGTCTTATCCTTGAGCATCTTTGTTCATTAACAAAACACATCAGTGCACTGCCCACACCACATGCAAACATCAATAGAAAGGATAAAAAGGGAACCATATTGCCAGGCTTCTTAGGGGCTGGGGAAGGCACATTTCCTCGATGACAGCTAGAGTCATAGTACTACTATCTTAGCAGACATCTGCTTCAAAGGAGCTTCTGGTTTTCTGGGGCTATTAGAAGCAATGCCCAAACCTGGCTCCACTCAATGGCACCCCATGTTGGCACCCAAGAAATAGATGGATGACTCAAGACTGTTTTAAATACCTGTCTCATGAAAATGAAGACTAGCAGCAGAACATTCCTGACCTCTGGTTCAAATATTGTCCAACTTTGTCTGAAGATGGGAACATGCTCTCACCTGGAACAAATTTTCATAAGCAAATAATTTAATGGAAGATCATATATGAAGCTATTGGAGGGGGTGCATTCCCTGATTTTTTTTCCTCTTTGAAATCCATTCTGGAAAGTCATATTTCAGATAATATTGCATTCTAAAATTTTTTGCTACTCTATTAAACTGGGAATCCAAGTAGCTGAGTCTCAGGGTAGATCTGCTTGGCCTAAATGTTTTTATATAGCCAACAATACTATAGAATAATTCCAGTATACTGAAACACTGCATAATCTGACCAGAAAGGTATTTAGAGAATTCTAGAAACCTTTGGGTTTGTTCCTATTCAGCAAGTGCATTGCACAGCTCCTAGTTTATCAGGATATTGAAGAAACAGCTAATCTCTTGCACAAAATTTGTCATCTTGCAAAAGATTATTCCCTAACTACATGGGTGAGAGAAAGAAATTGCACTGTTGCATAAAAATATTGGGTTGTTGAAATGTTACCCTTTAGAGAAATGTTAATTCTGAAACCAGCCTTGCTTTACTGTAGGATTATTGCAACTGCAATTGTGACACTGAGAAGGAAGGAGGAAATCTCATTCTTGTGGGTAGTTCCTCCTTAGAAAGTTTCATTCTATAGATACATTTCTCCAATGTGGCTAAGGAGATTTTTTTGTACCCGGGATTGAACCCACAGGCGCTTTACCACTGAGCCACATCCCCAGCCATTTTTAGTTTTTAGTTTTCTTTTCTTTTTTTTTTTTTTTTTTTTTTGAGACAGCATCTTGCTAAGTTGCTGAGTGGGACCTTGAACTTTCCATCCTCCTGACTCAGTTTCCTGAGTAGCTGGGATTGTGGGCATGCACCACCAAGTCTGGTGAGAATATTCATTTTTACAGGTTCAACAGTTTATCAAAACTTCAGATATTTTTCATGCATTCTGCTGTAGAGATTTATTTATCCTACATTTAGCCAATCCTAGGAAGATTAATCTGACTTGTAATTTTTTTTCTCTCTCTGAATCTTTTATTAGCTTTATTCTTTCACATATCTCATTTTCATTTTTGCTCTGATTACAGACTTGGAAATGGATAGTGGGTCCCATGTTCCTGTATCTCTGTGAGCGGTTGGTCCGGTTTTGGCGATCTCAGCAGAAGGTTGTCATCACCAAGGTATTGGTTGGGTTAAGAATTACTAGTACTCAGTGTCTGATTATATTGGACAATTCTACCCAAGTTCCTTATGTCTCTCTCTATGAGTTATCTTTTGCCCAGTTCGTTTTGCCCCAATTTCTTCTGATGAATTTAAAGCAGAGAGGAAACCTATAGTTTATTTCAGTGTACTTAGCCCATTCATCAAATGGTTGGGCCTTTAACTGGAGACACTAGAAGATGCATTATTTGGGTAGTTAAAAATGAAGAATGAAATGAAGTGAGTCTTAAAATTTTCAGATGCCAAAAGAACTAAGGAACCAAGGGTAGGTCTGATTGAGGCTGAAATAATTTCTTGGGTCATTTTTGCCTCTTCTGTGCTTTATATGTAATTACAGAATATCAAAGTGCCCAAAGTCTCAAGCAAGTTAGTAATTAATTAAGCTGCACTTTAAATCTGGTCTCCTAACCCCAAGCCTAGAGGGGCTTTCCCCCACAAACTCTTCTATGGGTTTTTTTCCCCATAGATAAACATTCAGCTAACTAAATATAAATGGAAACTCCTTGTTAAAATTTCCAGAAACATTACACAAATGTTTATCAAATGAAATTTAGTTCAACTCAACAAGTATTTACCAAAGGCCTGCTATGGGGTCATCTTTGCAAAACATACAAATTCCTTCTGTCCTTTGTCCAAACTTTTTTTATTTGATGTCTATGAAGGGTCATAGTAAAGCTAGTCCTGTTGGCATTGGAAGTCTCGCAATATAGGAAACCAAACAGTTCTCCTTTTTTGCTATTTATATTGTATTATAAGAAAAACCCCATAGATCAGCAAAAGAAGCTGCCACAAAATTTCCCTTACTGGACAAAACTGAGTGAACCTGACAAATATGTCTCTTAACCATCTTTGTAAGGAAAACTTGTTTTCCTGTAAAGAAAATTGATATTCATTTTCTTCTCAGACCAACATATACAAGAAACAAGGTGTTATCTCAAAATACTCCAATGAGAATGCTGTCCACTAGTGTATCTTACTTAGTTAAATCCTATTTGTGCCTGTGATGGCAAAATTGCAATATGGCGAAAAAATTTTTCTTCACACAAAATGATGACATGGCAAACAATTTTCAACATAATTTTCTGGATTTGAAATTCCAACTCTGTATTTTGAAGCAGAAGGGAAGTTGGATACAACCATATCATATAAGATTTATTTAAATCACAAGCTTTGGAAATGTTTGACAATTCTTTGTGTGGTATTGGGAACAAAATCTAGGGCCACACATGCTAAGCACATGCTTTACCACTGAGCTATGCCTCCAGCCAACTTTTTGGGGGGAATGGCATGGGTACTGGGGATTGAACCCAGGGACACTCTACCACAGAACCACATTCCCAGCCCTTTAAAAAAAGTTTTATTTAAATTTTCATTTTGGGACAGGGTCTTGCTAAGTTACCCAGGCTGGCCTTGACTCTGTGATCCTCCTGCCTCAGCCTCCTGAGTTACTGGGATTACAGGCATGTGCCACCACACCTGGGCCAACCAACATTTTTTTTTTTTTTTAAAGAGAGAGTGAGAGGAGAGGAGAGAGAGAGAGAGAATTTCAAACATTTTTTATTTTTTAGTTATTGGCGGACACAACATCTTTGTTGGTATGTGGTGCTGAGGATCGAACCTGGGCCGCACGCATGCCAGACGAGCGCGCTACCGCTTGAGCCACATCCCCAGCCCAACCAACAATTTTTATTAAAAGAATTTCCTACTCTCCCACAACTCTCTACCCATGAAAAGAAAATCCCAGAAATATCAGACAACATTAAAAACTTACTATTTTGTTTCCATTGATTTTACTTTCCTTTGATGACCCTTGATTTATCTTTAGTTGTATAGTATGAAGTTCTTTTAGGTATTTTAGGAATCATGAAAGAAACAGTATATTACTCTTTCTTTTTTTTAATTCTTATTTTATTTTTAAGTGACACATAATTGTACATATTTAGAAGGTAAAATGTAGTGTTTTGATACATTATACTTTGTGTAATGATCAAATCAGTGTAATTAGAATATACTTCACTTCAAACATATATCATTTTATTGTGGTAAGAAAATTCAGAATCCTCTCTTCTAGTTGGGCATGGTGACACATGACTGTAATATCAGCCACTCAGAAGGCTGAGGCAAGAAGATCTCAAGTTTGAGGCCAGACTGGGCAAATTAGTGAGGCCCTAAGCAAATTAGTGAGACTCTGTCTCAAAATAAAAAAAAATAAAAAGGGTTGGGAGTATGTAGTTCAGTGATAAGAGTACCCTGGGTTCAATTCCTATTTACACACACACACACACACACACACACACAAACACACACACACACAAACACACACACACAGAGAAAAAAGAAAAATTCTCTCTTTTAGCAATTTGAAATGTATATTATTGTTACTCATGGTCACCATCAGAACTTATTTGTGCTTTTTTGTTTGTTTGTAGTACTAGAGATGAAACCCAGGGGAACTCTACCATTGAGCTACATCTCCAGCACTTTTATTTTATTTTGAGACAGGGTGGGTTTTGCTAAACTACTGAAACTGGGCTCAAACTTGCAGTTATCCTGCCTCAGCTTCCCAAGTCACTGGGATTACAGGCTTGTGCCACTGTGTCTGGCCTTATTTCTCCTCTCTGTGATTTAGTATCTGTTAACCAACCTTTGCCCATTTCTCCATCCCCACTACTTACTCCATCCTCTGGTACCCACCATTCTACTCTCAACTTGTACGAGATCAAGAGATCAACTTTTTTAGATTCTACATATGCATGAAATCATGTGGTGTTTGTCTTTCTGTGTTTAGCTTATTTCACTTAACATAATATCCTCTAGATTCATCCATGTTGTTATAAATGGCAGGATTTTCTCCTTTATATGGCTAAATAGGTTTCCATTGTATGTATGTACCATGTTTTCTTTATCCATTCATCTGTTGATGGACACTTATGTTGATTCCGTATCTTGGCTATTGGGAATAGTGCTGCAATGAACATGGGAGTGTAGATAGGTCTTTGACAAAAAACAGCATGTTACTTTCTGCATGGCTCTTTATTGTGTTCTATTTTTAAAAAAAATAGTTATCTACTTACTAGTTGATGGACATCTGGATTGTTTCCATTTTTTGCTATTATGAGTTAAGCTGTTAGGAACATTTGAGTATATGCAGAATGAAGATGGCGGTGGATGGGAAGGAACTGGCTTGGGGAGAGATGACTCATGTATTCTCCAAGTAGGGAAAATGTATTGCATGGAATAGGACAGGTTCCAGGTGTGATTCATGGTAAGTTCAGATAGTAGAGTTAACTTGGTTTTGGGGGGTGTTGGTATATAATGGCCTGTGGAATCTGCTTCTGTCCAGTTCTCAAGGCCCTCTCTCATCCCCTGGGGAGATAGGAAGGCTGAGCAGGAAACTATCACCTTTTCTCCCCTATTTTTTTTGTACCTTCCTTGACTTCTGAGAGAGAAAATCAGAATAGGCTGATGACTTAGGCTGGATTCCTTGGTAAAGACTCTGAGACAGAGAATTGTGTGCTGAAAGTTTACAGGGATGTGTTCTCAGGAACTGCATCTGTAAAGAAAGTACAAAAGATAGAATTGGGGAGAGGGAAATGGTGACCCTGACTTACAACATACTGGCAACTGTGGCCTCAGTTGATCCTACAAGGGATGCTGGAGTTGAGATGGTCCCTTGGAGTTGTCCCAAATTTGGGAGAAACGACCAGATCTTTGTATCCCTTTGGCAGTCTATCTTTGGCTATGGGCTACAGCTGAGGACAATTCCGAGTGACCAATTAGAGAACCTTCCATGTTGGCCCTGAAGTAGAGACCTGGATGGAACATCTTAGCTCAGCCTTTTATCCATATCGACACGGAAAGGGCAAATATTTGGGAAAAGTGTCACTAACAGAGACATGTTTTGTTCCATAGGTGGTCACTCACCCTTTCAAAACTATCGAGCTACAGATGAAGAAGAAGGGATTCAAGATGGAGGTGGGTCAGTACATTTTTGTCAAGTGCCCCAAGGTGTCCAAGCTGGAGTGGCATCCTTTCACACTGACCTCTGCCCCTGAGGAAGACTTCTTTAGCATCCACATCCGCATTGTTGGGGACTGGACAGAGGGACTATTCAATGCTTGTGGCTGTGATAAGCAGGAGTTTCAAGATGCCTGGAAACTACCTAAGTGAGTACAAGGCACATGTTACAAAGGTATAGGTGTTCAAGGAAAATGGCACTCAACAGCTCCTCTTCCCCCACATCTCACTATGCTATCTCCTGAGTCTCTGACAAAACACAGAGGTCCTAAGAATATACAGAGCCCTGTGTTCCCCATTGCATGTGTGTGGTATGCTTATGCATATTTTTAATGTCTTTATGTGAAATTAAAAATATTTGGACCAAATATTAGTAATAAATTAGTAATAAATATTTTCAAATTCCTTTAAGTTCGTTAATACCAAGTTACATTGACTTTTCTAACAAACTGAGCTGTAATGTATCAAAATTATCATTATAATAATAATTATATTATTATATCCTGTATAGGGATTGAACTCAGGGGCACTTTATTACTGAGCTATATTCCCAGTCCTTTTTATTTTATTTTTAAAAAGTATTTATTTTTTAGTTGCATTTGGACACAATACCTTTATTTTATTTATTTTTATGTGGTGCTGAGGATTAAACCCGAGCACTCTAGCACTGAGCCACAACCTCAGCCCCCTTTTTTATTTTTTTTATTTTGATACAGGGCCTCACCAAGTTGCTGAGGCTAGCCTTGAACTTGCAATTCTCCTGTTTCAGCCTCCTGAGTCACTGAGCCACTGTGCCTGGCCAAAAATATTCTTAAATTTTAATCAGCACCATTTATTTGAGAGAAAATGCCAGGCATTATTGATTTTACATCACTCTCCCCACATGCCTAACATAGTATCAGGTGCTTAACAGATGCTGAAGAAAAGTTTGTTGAATAGCTCAATCAATAGACAAAAGAGAAGTGGGAATAGCAAATCTATAGGATGTTATAATATTAGAAAATTCTCACATCAGTGTGCAATATAAGTAGGAATTTCAAGTGTAGGATGTTCTGGCAAGAGACAGAGGTGTGTGTGCATGTGGGTTTCTTTTTGTTGTTGTTGTTTTTGTTTTTGTTTTTGTTTTTTTTTTGTGTGTGTGTGTGTGTAAAAGAAGGAAAGGAGGATGGGAAGGTGAAAATATAGCCGTGGTGAGTTACCATGTTTTCAGTTAGCTAAAATTCCTCTTCTTATTTTCAACCCCAATGTTTGCACTAAGTTGTTTACTTGTTAATCATTTCATGGAAGAAAGTGCGTCATAGATACATGGCCCCAGTTGGAATTGCCGTATTGTACATCTGCAGTAGAAAGAGAGCTCCATCTTACTGTGAAAAGCAGGACATCCCTTAACTACCTCCTCTCCGCTCCCATTCAGGATAGCCGTTGATGGACCCTTCGGTACAGCCAGTGAAGACGTGTTCAGCTACGAGGTGGTGATGTTGGTGGGAGCAGGGATTGGGGTCACGCCCTTCGCATCCATTCTCAAGTCGGTCTGGTACAAATACTGCAATAATGCCACCAATCTGAGGCTCAAAAAGGTAAGTTCCTTCAGGGCCTAGGGTGGCCATTCATTGCCAAATGAAGTGTGAAATCCCCTTCAGGGCAAGGTCCGGCAGGGAACATGGAAAGTAAAGAAAAGCTTTCGTGGTTCCAGAGACCCAGGCTTAGACTATACGATAAGTTAAATGTGCTCTCTAGAAGCAGGTATATTGGTCAAAGTAATTTAATACAGTATTTATATAGCATTACTGGATGTTCCCAAGAAAGAAACTTGGGAAAGAAATATTTACAGCCCTAACCCTCCTCCTTCCCTTTCTCTTTTTTCTCCTCCTCCTTCTCCTCCTCCTCCTTCTCCTCCTCCTCCTTCTCCTCCTCCTCTTCCTAGTCCTCCTCCTTCTGCTGGGGATTGAACCCAGGGCCTGTGCAGGCTAGGCAAGTGTTCCACCACTGACCTATACCTCCATCCTCTTGTATATGTTCTTTTTTCTCTGTGTGTGTCTTAGAAGAGTTTATTAAAAATCATTCCAGCTGGTTGCAGTGGTGGGCAGTGTAATCCCAGCGGTTCATGAGGCAGAGGCAGGAGGATGGCAAGTTCAAAGCCAGCCTCAGCAAAAGCAAGGTCCTAAGCAACTCAGTGAGACCCTGTCTCTAAATAAAATACAAAATAGGGCTGGGGATGGGGCTCAGTGGTTGAGTGCCCTTGAGTTCAATGCCTCGTACCCCCCACAAAAATCATTTCATTTATTCCTCACTTTTGAGGATGAAAGTGCAATTAAAATTAATTGATTTACATCAATGCAACCCCCCTCTTTTTTTTTGGTACCAAGGATTGAACCCAGGGACACTTCATCACTGAGCCATATCCCCAGCCTCCACCCCCAGCCCTTTAATTTTGAGACAGGGTCTCAATAAGTTGCTAGGGCCTCCCTAAGTTGCTGAGGCTTACCTTGAATTTGTGATCCTCTTTCCTCAGCCTCCTGGCTGTTGGAGTTACAAGTGTGAGCCACCATGTCTTCCCCCTTTTTCTTAGAGCTTTATAGTTATACATGAGACAAACCTTTTAAAAAAGGTTTTAATAAAAATAATAGTAAATGTGGATGTCTATCTTCTTTTGTAATATTCTTTTTACAGGCTTACATATTTTTGGAAATTGGTAAATTTCAACTATGTACAATTTCATATCCTGATTTTTAAAACACAGAAAACATTTTTCAGAGACATCATAATGTTTTCTAAGACTTCATAATGTTGATTTTTAACGATTCCCTCCTATTCCATTAGGAAGATGCAGACTAATTTTTCTTCCATCTGGGATTATATATTGAGATAGAATCAATTTTTTAGGCCTTTAACACTTTTTTTTTTTTTCAGGCTGAGGGCAGGAGACATGAAACTTTTTGTTTCTAATGGATGTCTCCTCAGGATAAATTCCCAGGGGAGTGTTACATGTAAATTACCTGATGAAGGACATCCTCAATAAATGCTGAGTCACTCTAGTAACTATAAAGATAAATTCTGAAGGGTACATTGAGCCTACCTTGACATTTTTATGTTATATAGTTATTTTTGTTTTGTTTTGTTTTGTTTTGTGTTTAGAATTCTTCCCCTTCACCTCTTTTCTATGTGGAGGAGGAATGGGTAAAACTATTTTTTTCCTGCTAGTCTACTTTCCTCATGTCTTTCTGAGAGGAGGTACAAGGGATGTCAAGGCTTCTGGGGGAGAAGAAGTAACCAGCCCAAGATGAAAAATAGGTGGACTAGAGACTTGTTTTTTCTCTGAACTGTGTATTTCTTTCTTTCTTTTTTTTTCCTTTCTTTTTGTGGCGGGGGGCAGGTACTGGGGATTGAACTCAGGGACATTTGACCACTGAGCCCCATCCCCAGCCCTATTTTGTATTTTATTTAGAGATAGGATCTCACTCAGTTGCTTAGGGATTCAGTGTTGCTGAGACTGGCTTTGAACTCGAGATCCTCCTGCCTCAGCCTCCTGAGCCACTGGGATTATAGGCAGGCGCCACTGCACCCAGCTGAATTATGTATTTCTGAGGCCAAGTTAGTTATTTACTGCCCTGCCAGAGCCTATGAAATGTCCAGAACTTGCTGAAAACCTATGTTGCTAGGCATTCTGAGCATCAGGAAAAAAAGTTAGGGGGACAGTAGCAATGCATGTGTTCATGCTGCGGGAACCCATGCCAATATAATCTGCTCTGGGATCCGTCCTTTTCCAGATCTACTTCTACTGGCTGTGCCGGGATACGCATGCCTTTGAGTGGTTTGCAGACCTGCTGCAGCTGCTGGAGTCCCAGATGCAGGAGAGGAACAATGCTGATTTCCTCAGCTACAACATCTACCTCACTGGCTGGGATGAGTCTCAGGTGAGGATAAAGATCCAGGTCTCAAGTCCTTCCTTTAGTGTCCAGGGCTTGCCCACTTTCCCTTGGTTACTGGTGTGTCCTGTGTACTATTTTTTTCCCCAAGAATGGTCAATGGATTCTAATGATCTAGCCCATTCACTCTAACTCAGCATCACCACCTGGTAGACTGTTGAGACTAGATTCAAAGCTAAGGATTCTCAGAGGGAATAAAGGCCAAGCCCTTGACATTATTAATGCAATACTCCCATCTGGGAGTCCAAAACCAGACAGACAAAATTTGCCAGGGGACAATGAGGAAAAAATGTGTTTGTGTTCCTTTAATTCATATGTTTATGCATATGACTTAATATGCATACTTGATATGTTTATAGTTGTTAACTATATGCAGTCAGCCCTCCTTATGAATCAGTTCTGCATCTGTGGATTGAACCAACCACTGATAATAAATATTTGGAAAAACACTTGGATCTGTTTTCAACATGTACAGGCTTTTTTTCTTGTCATTGTTCCCTAAATAATACAGTGTGCATGCAACACGTACATAGCATTTACACTATTTTAGGTAATATTAGTAATCTAGAGATCATTTAAAGTATATTGGGAGGATGTGCATAGACTTATTTTTATTTTTCCAGTACTGGGAGTTAAACCCAGGAACCCTCTACCACTGAGCTACATCCCCTACTTTTGAGATAGGGTCTTACTAATTTGCCCAGACTGGCCTTAAACTTGGATCCTCCTGCCTCAGCCTCCTGATGGGCTAACTTCTATGCAAATACTACACCATTTTATATAAAAGATTTGAGTACCACAGATTTGGGTATCTAAGCAGGAGGAGTTTAGAACCAATCCCCTATAGACACAGAGAGAGACTGAACTGCACACCAGGTACTATGGTTAAAGTTTAGACAGATTGTCTAATTTTATGCTGTCAACAACCCTATGAGATCACTACTATTATTATCCACATTTTACTGATGAAGAACCAAGGCCCAGAATAGATTAAGTCATTTGCCTAAAGGCACCTGGCAAGTAAGTGGCATAGTCAGAATGTTCCAGAGCCTGTACTCTTAGTGACTACCAGTAGTTTATGATTATTAATAGTAAATAAACCACCATATAGCTAAAGAAGGTGAGACATATGTGTGATGTGTGTGTGTGTGTGTGTGTGTGTGTGTGTGTATTTCAAATGAAAGTGTGCTTTCAATACTGTTCAGAGGCCACTGTAATAAAATCAGCCAGTAGTTCTCAGCTGGGGGTGATTTTGCCCATCTCCCCAGGCCCCCCAAGGAGATTTGGCACTGTAAACATCTTACAATTGACAAGCTCCTACAACCGTACATGAAGCCTCTTATAAGGTTCTTAATATCATCCATGAGGGAGGAGCCCTCTCGACCCAATTACCTCTTAGAGGTCCTACCTCTTAATGCTATAACATTAGAAACACCTGAAATTTTTGGAGGAGACATATTTGGAGCACAGCAGCTGGCTCTAGCTAGGCATTGGCTCCTCAACCCTGGCATCTTTCACTTACATCCTCTAACTGTCAAGAGTGCCATTTCATTTGGGTTTTGTTTTGTTTTGGTACTGGGGATTGAACCCAGGGATGCTTGGCCAGAGCCACATCCCCAGGCCTTTTTATTTTAAATTTTGAGACAGAGTCTCACTAAGTTGTTTAGGGCCTCAATAAGTTGCAGAGGCTGGCTTTTGAACTTGTGATCTTCCTGCCTCAACCTCTTGAGCCACTGGGATTATAGGTGAGCACCACCGTGTCCAGCTAATTTGAGTTTTTAAATTATTGCCTATCATAGATTCTCCAAGTCTTAGAAGAGTCTTGTAGTAAATGTAGATCCAGGGACACATGACCATGACAACTGATGCTTCAGAAAAAGCAGTTTTAAGATTCCATTTCTGGGGGCTGGAGTTGTGGCTCAGTGGTAGAGCACTCGCCTAGCATGTGTGAGGCCCTGGGTTTGATCCTCAGCACCACATAGAAATGAATGGAGTAGGGGTATTGTGTCCAACTACAACTAAAAAAAATTTTTTTTAAAAAGATACCACTTCTGCAATTTAAAAACAAAACAGTAAAACCCCTTTGACAAAAATGAAACCCAGGGGGAAAATCTATGATTTATAAATTGTTTTACAGTTTTGCTATTTTATTTATTTAGGTACCAGGAAGTGAACCCAGGGATGCTTTACCATTGAGTCACATCACTAGCTATTTTTAAAATTCTTCATTTTTGAGACAGAGTCTCACTGAGTTGCTTAGGGCCGTGCTAAGTTGCTGAGGCTGGCCTTTGAACTTGTGATCCTCCTGCCTCAGCCTCCCGAGTAGCTGGGATTATAGGCGTGCCCCACCATGCCCAGCAATAACAGTTTTACAATTTAAAAAAGCCAGACACAGTTTTTTTTTTTTTTAAATAGGAAACTTATGTGCATTGAAAAAAAATAATTATTTTGCTTTGGAAAACTGGTCCCATAGCATTATGAATTAAGTGACCACCTTTTGATTTTCCTTTCTTTTTAAAATTGTTTGTACCATTTTACTATTCACTTATTTTTGCAGTACTGGGGAGCCAGGGGTGTACCAATGAGCTGTACCAATGAGCTACATCATCAGCCCTTTTTCATTTTTTAAATTTTGAGACAGGCTCTCACTGAGTTCCCCAGACCAGTCTCAAGCTTGTGATCTTCCTGCCTCAGCTTCCTGGAGCAGGTTGGATTACAGGTGTGCGCCACTGCATCTGGCTGTGACTCTCTCTCTAAATCCCCTCCATCCTCATCATCCATCCCCTGCCTGGTGAATTTAATATCTGATTTATTTTAAAAATACATTTAATTTTAGCCAGTTTTATGAAAAATACCTGTTGTTCAAGCTGAGGCTCCCTAGAACAGTAGCAGGAAAAGAGCATGTGCCCAGCTTCAGGTTTGATTTGATGTCCTGTTAAGTTATGGAAATATTACTATATTTTAGTCAGTGAATATGTCAGTTCTTAGTGATTCTCCCAAATGAGTGGAGTACATTAGGGTGAGGAGAGAAGCTCAAACAAAGGAAAGAGTAAAACAGTGTGTGGGGGGAGTGCACGACTATAATCCCAGCAACTCGGGAGGCTGAGGCAGAAGGATTGCAAGTTTGAAGCCAGCCTCAACACCCCTGAGTTCAATTCCTGGTACACACACACAAAAAAAAAAAGAGAGAGAGAGAGAGAGAGAGAGAGAGACAGAGACAGAGACAGAGACAGAGACCCAGAGAAAGACAGTGAGACAGTACCCACACTTCAATGCCTGACTCAAATGCTATTGGGCCTTCAACCTTCCCTTAGCCTCCCATTCTAGACCTTCCTTCTTTGTTCTCATTTGAATGCTGTGTCTCTTCCTGGCACTCATCACAGCCAATTCTACATATTATATTATTTATATTTATACTTCAAGGTGTCCCCTTCTGGAGGGGAAATTGCTAGAGAGAATCCAGTTTGTTTATCTTTGTTTTTCATCTAGCCTCCAGTTTGGTGCCTTGGGTTATGCAACTGTACCTGTGTGTGTGTGTGTCACAGCATGCTTCTTTTTCCTGAATTCATGTCCTTTGCTGCAGGCCAATCACTTTGCTGTGCACCATGATGAGGAGAAAGATGTGATTACAGGCTTGAAGCAAAAGACTTTGTATGGACGGCCCAACTGGGATAATGAGTTCAAGACAATTGCGAGTCAACATCCTAAGTAAGGAACCCACTACCAGGCTGTTCATTTCATTTTCCCCCTCCACTCCCCTCCCCTCCCTCCTTTCCCCTCCCCTTCCTTTCCCTTTGATACTGGGGGGTGCTTTACAACTGAGCTACACCCCATTTCTTTTTTATTTTGAGACAGGGTCTTGCTACATTGTTGAGTCTGGCCTCAAATTTGTATTCCTCCTGCCTCAGCCTCCCCAGTAGCTGGGATTACAGGCATGTGCCACCATGCCCAGCTCATCAGGGTGTTCTTGAGGCTTTTCATCTACTTTAGCAATGGCTCCCAAGCATGCCTACATTTCTATATTCTAGAAACTAAGATACCCATGTTACTATACTGGGGTTGAATTCATGTCCAACTGAAAATTCCTAATATCTTTGACTTTAGGAGGGAAACTTTAAATCACAGCAAACTTACCTGGGGGGTTATAGAAAATAAGAATCTCAGGTTCCTCCCTCAGACTTTCTTAACTGCCTATCCCAAGCAGGGTCATGGTTTTGTTTTGTTTCTGTTACCTAAATCTCACTAGTGTATCCACTTCTTTTAAATATTCATATAATTTACACTTATAATTAAGGAGACACTACACTCTTCACTTTCAGTTATAGTCGCTGCTGCTTCTCCTCCCTCCTCCTCTCCCTCCTCCTCTCCCTCCTCCTCTCCCTCCTCATCTCCCTCCTCCTCTCCCCCCTCCACTCCCCCCTCCTCTCTCTCCTCCTCTCCCTCCTCCTCTCCCCTGGGATTACAGGCATGTGCTACTACCATGCCCTCTTCAATTGTAGCTTCTGAATCTAAAATTGTAAGTTGATTGCTGTCCCAAGGTTCTTTCTGCCCTCACTAAAGCTTTACCCATCACGAGACCTTGAGAGCTCCCATCTTGCTTGAACACATGAAAAACTCAAGAGCTGGCCATAAATATATACATTCCACCATTGCTTCTTACACTATTATGAGCGTACAGTTCAACTGGTTATATTTTTAAAATGCAGGTTCTGGGGGGGCTGGGGTTGTGATTCAGTGGTAGAGCGCTTGCCTAGCATGTGTGAGGCACTGAGTTTGATCCTCAGCACCACATAAAAATAAATAAATAAAATAAAGGTATTGTGTCTGCGTACAACTAAAAAAACAATATTAAAAAAAATCTGCATTCTTAAAAAGCCAGTGCCAGAGCTGGGCACATGCCTTAATCCCAGCAGTTTGGGAGGCTGAGGCAGGAGGATCGAGAATTCAAAACCAGCCTCAGCAACTTAGTGAGGCCCTAAGCAACTCAGTGAGACCCTGTCTCTAAATAAAATACAAAATAGGGCTGGGGATGGGGCTCAGTAGTTAAGCATCCCTGGGTTCAATCCCTGGTACCAAAAAAAAAAAAAAAAAGCTATTGATGTGAAACTACCATTGAAGAGCAAAGCCTTAAATTCTTTGAGGGAGGAGATACACCAACCTGTCAGAGTTGGGGTACCTAAAGATGGTTTGCTCTTGATTTCAAGGTGCCAGAAAGGGTTTGGGGCCCAGAACCCTGAAAGGAAGTAGCTCACAAACTCACAAATTAACCACCATTTTCTCTATGGTAGAAGTTTCCAAAAACGCTTCTTAGAATTCATTCTCTAGGGAAGTCAACTGCCTTTTGAAATATCCAGCTGTCCCCACAAGCAGGGCTGAGTCTCCAACCTGCAGAGTAATCTGAACTCTTGCCATTTGTTATATATGAATATATATTTTCGTTGTCAATGGATCTTTTATTTTTTATTTATTTATATGTGGTGCTGAGGATTAAACCCAGGGCCTCACACAGGCCAGCAAGCACTCTACTACTGAGCCACAACCCCAGCCCAACTCTTGTCATTTGTAGAAAAGACAAAGGAGCAGAGAGGATTTAGCCCTGAGGCCTCAGATTGATAGGAAATCCCCCACCTGCTTTATAGTCCATCTTATTCCAAAGTCTGAAACTGTTTTTTTCTTTTTTCCTTCTTTCCCCGAAAGTACCAGAATAGGCGTGTTCCTCTGTGGTCCTGAAGCCTTGGCTGAAACCCTCAACAAACAGTGCATCTCCAACTCTGACTCTGGCCCTCGGGGAGTGCATTTCATTTTCAACAAGGAAAACTTCTAACTCTTCCATGAGGAAACAAATATAGGTTATTCTGTATCAAATGCCCAAATAATGTTGGTTGGATGTAAGCTCCCTCCTCTTAAAAAAAAAAAAAAAAAAAAAAAAAGGAGGAAAAGAAACTATAATGTAATGGATTCCATGAAAGGAATATCAATGCTTGTTTTCGAGTGAGAAGTTACATTTTTATGGCGCTTTAGGGTTTGCAAACTACTTTTACAAACATTATTTCATCTCTTTCTTCCCATATTGTCAGAAGGAGGTGGGACAATGATACCTGACTCATTTTTAGGCTAAAACAATGGGGCCTTGAAAGGGTTCAATAGGTTCCTTAGGATTATGGACCAGGGGAGCCAGCGAAGAGTGCCTTTTCTCCTCATCCATCTGCAGAGACTGGGTCTAGGCCATCTGACTACAAATTTGGTAACCTTCCCACAACACCAGGCTGCCTCAAAAATCAGTTTTTATACTCTTCCAAAGAAACAGAAAACCAATCCTTTCCCTTTTGTGTCATCTTTTAAAAAAATCAATATTGCCATATTGAAAATTTTCCAGTTAGCTGGGGAATGAGATATGCTGAGAGTGATTTAACACTTCCTAGTGACAGTTTTGACATGTCAGCATATTCCAGTTTCCAACACAGCAGCCTAATTGAGTCAGAGATTCAACCTACAAATGAATATTGCAGAGATTGAAGTTAATCAACTAGTTAGCATTTGCCATGGTGCTTGGCAGAGAGTGGATACTCAAGAAGAGTTTGTTGAATGAATAAATGAATGAAAAAACATTCAGAACCGGGTAATGTCAGAGTAGAACTAATAGAAGGACTTACACAGAATTCCCTAAGGAAATAACTTTTGTTACTCTTATGGAGCAAAGGATGCTGGTTCTCCTGAGGGTAGAGAACAGACTAAGGATACTAACCAGTAAATGGCCTGGAGAGTTCCTTAGGCTACTATTTGAAGCAAGGAATGAGAAATGGAGGCAGAGAACTGGTCTCTTGCCTTTACTCAACCTGGCTTCTCTAGTTCTGGTTCCTATCCTATGAAAGAAGAGCACACTGATTTACTGATAGCAATATTCTCCTCCAGTCAATCTTCGTGAATTTCAAACTTGAAATTTGTGACAAATATGTATTTAATAATGTGCATCTAGCTTAAATACATTCCACTCCTTGTTTTACTTTTACACACACACACACACACACACACACCCAAGTGGATCTTATGTGTGTGACTAATGGTTTATTTTTATTGTATCATCATCATCTCCTCCTCCCCCTCCTTCTCCTCCTCCTCCTCCTCCTCTTCTTCTTTCTTTTCCTCTTCCTAAAATGTACATCCTACAAACTAAAATCCCCAGTTAACTGTGTTGATATTGAATTCACATCCAATAGAATGTTCTGGATATCCATGAGTTCAAGAAAGAGGATCTAAATCACTGTTAGTAAGACCAGAGCCTTTTTAAAGAACTGCTCCCATTTCTGGGAACTAAAAACTGCTTTATTTACCCCCACTTCCTGAGGCTGCAGATATTTAGAACTATATAGCTTTGGTAATGAGGAAGAAAGAGAAGAAAGCAGGGGGAGGGGAAAATAAATTCCTTAAGGGTAAGGAAGAGAACAGGTGAATGAGAAAAACAAAAAACAAATCAAAACAACAACAACAACAAACAAAAAACAAAACAAAAAACAGAAGGGGCAGCTGATTTCACATTGGTCACTTCTTACACCAGATTTCTTTTCTTTTCTTTCTTTTGGTACTGGGGATTGAACCCAGGGGTGCTCTATCACTGAGCTACATTCCCAGTTCTTATTTTTTATTTTGAGACAGGGTTTTGCTAAGTTGCTGAGGCTGGCCTCAAACTTGAGATCCTCCTTCCTCAGCCTCCCAAGTCCCTGGAATTACAGGCCTGCACCACCATAGCCAACTACTCCAGATTTCTTAATTTTGCATATAATGAATATAATGAAGGAGGCATACATAGATTTATCTTATGTTGATTACATATGATATTGAATCTTTTAAACTCTGGTCACAAATTTTGATGCCAAGTGGGCATATTCAGGAGACTGGAATGAACTAAGTAAGAAAGTTGTTTGTTGTAGTGCTACTGTTCCTTTGGTCCCCCAGGATTTCAGGGCATTGAGGGCCAGTTGTGATAAATAAGGCCTTCCTGGATGTGTGAATGTTGCCTCTAAGAAGTGTACAGAAGGTTTCCACTGGAAGAAAGTTCGATTCAGCAGCCTAGGTATAAGTTCAACACATTTATTGTACTATTACTATGGCTCTGATACTGTGTGCATAGTTGCAGTGCTTTCAAACCAAAGTGTGAGCAGGAAGAGAAACCTCAGTTTTAAGGGCACTGCGCATACTGGTTCCTTCTAACTTAGATGTCAGAAGTAAAACCAGCTCCAGTCATTGCTCTGAGAATATTTCTCTGGAGTTTTCTACCTTTGACAACAACACAGTTAGCAAAATAGATCTTCCCTGTGTTATTCTGGTTATGAGATGAAAAATGAATGTAAAAGTGCTTATCATTATAAGAGCTTCCTTCTCTATTCTTCTCCCAAGTTCCCAGCCATCAGTGATCAGCTTGCCAGTACAGCTTTTTTTAGTGTTTAGTATTTAGCATTAAGTAACACATGCTGAGAGAATAATGAAGCATTGTTTTTAATCTCAAGGTTATGAAGGCTTTTCTTAATTCTGCTTTTGCAATATTGTGTTTATGAAATTTGAATTCTTGCAGGCATTGCATGTGAATAGATTTTTTTTGGAGAGAGGATCTGGGAGATAGTTTCCAGGATGAACTATTAAAACTGTTGTTAACCATTAAAAATAATGAGCTCTCCCTGTGTCTGTGTTATTGAAATTGGTACTAAAGGGTGAATACAGCTAGCAGGGATTTTCTCCGCCCCGGTAGGGTGAAGAGTCTCTTATGTTTCAGTAGATAACATACCAGATGTTACATAGTGTATAGATTGGGGAGGGGAAACTGAGGTCTAAGTTTCATGTCAATGTCCCAACGATCCCCATAGTACTGGTATGAGGGAGTGCCACTTCCCATTGTGGACAGAATTTGGAAGACATAGGAGCCCCAGTATGACCTCTTTTTTCAATTTCCACTGGTCTTTCATGTTCTAACTTCACAATTAAATGTCATCAAGTTCGACTATGGACGTGTGAACTCATGGTTCTGTTCTAAATGAGCCCCCCATATGATCCTCACTATCTAGGAAATGTAGAGGCCTGCAGATGTGGCTTCCCGAGGGAGTCCATGGGTGCTGCCATGGAGGGAAAGGACATTACCTCAAACAATGAGCAATCATAGGAATAGCAAATGTTGAGTGAACACCTCCCACTATGCCAGATATTTTATACACACTTCATTTAATCCCTCAGCAACACCTCTAGGTAGCATTTTGTCACAATTTTATTGATAAGAAAACTGAGTTCAGACAGCAACATCCCTGATCTTTATACTCCACTAGCAGATTAGATAAGGTATAAGTAACCAAGAATATTCTCAAAGTTATTATACTAGATACAAACTATGCACTGGATAACAGTGGTGGCATAGACCAAATGTCTTGGTATCTTAGTTTAGAAACACTGAATAACCTGATTCATGCTAATTTTGACTCTCCAGGTAAGGGAGAATCTATCAAGAAGTATAATTATGTTGCTTAGAGAAAAGAAGGTTCTAGTGATTCACTTTAAATTTACTTGATATTATATTTATTTTATGTGTAAACTATTTCTGTCTTTCAGGAAATGGCCAATTATTGTTCAGTGGTGTGTGTGTGTGTGTGTGTGTGTGTGTGTGTGTGTGTGTGAGAGAGAGAGAGAGAGAGAGAGAGAGAGAGAGAGAGAGAGAATTTGCATCCATAAGAAGCCAAATCATAAGAGGACAGAATTTCTCAGCTATAAATGATGTTGGGCAAAACACAAATTGCTGACAAAGGATAGGAAATCTGACCACTAGAGATTTCTAATAAGAGGGATAATAATCCACCAGATGGCCTGAGAGTCTTTTAAAACTATTGTCTTTGCTATCTTGTGATGGTGGTTGGGGAATGAAATAATCTAAGCAATTGGATATTCCAGTTAATTATTGCTACTTGTGCTAGCAATTTTCAAGGAATTATGAATTTCAAACCATAAGAAAAACCGAAATCCCCAATATACCACTTTGTAGATAAAAGGAAGTACTAGGAAAGGGAGCACATGAGCAGAGGCCACTCTGGGTTTATTTTCTGGATCTTATTCTGAAAACTAACAACAGATAAGACTGCGCTTATCTGTCTTTTGGAAAAAGTCCAAAGTATTATATTGAGAAACTTTATCCTTCCAAGGAGACCACTCCAAAGATAACAAACTTGAATTACGCAAAAAAAAGCAAGCTCAAAAGGTCTTTATAAATCTTAAAATTACCTTAGAATATTAAGTAATCACTAAGTTTTCCATTATGTTAGATCACTTGATTGCTAAATGTCGCTTCCTCTTTTAAGATATGTAATTTCCAGTTATGTAACAATAAAATTCACTAACCCACCCACGTTTGTGGGAAAAGCTAAACATTGCTCTTCAGGGTCACATGGAGACAAGTCAGGTCATGAGGAATGAATCACATTTGTCCTTCCTAAGAGATATTAGAGCAAATCTCAGATACCCTTGTGTTGGCTGAGAAGAAAAATTCAAGCTGTCTAAAGATCACCCAGTGGTATTGCATGTGTTTGTATTGGCAGAAAAACACCAGGACACTTTATTGATATGGCAGTTAATCCAGATCTAGCTGTTGAGGGTCTGCAGAGCTATAATTGATCGTCCTGTTTTCCAGTTGGGAGTTCTGCATCATCCACGGCTAAACCATCACACTTAGACATCTGTGTTATCAACTACTTGCTTCATTCAGTTCTGCTGGGGCCAATGTCCCTGTTGCTTTACTGAGTTCATGTCCAACTCACAAAGAAGTGAATGGGAAGATAGCCTTTAGAAAATGAGTTTTTGCATTTTTTTTCCTTTGGAGAAAATAATCAACAAATTTTACTTGCCACTTGTACATTTAAAAATATATTTTGAGAAAAAGAAACTCAGTTGCCTACTTCCCCCGTGGCCCTGTGAGACGAAGAAACTGAAGATGCCTACTTAAATTTTGGATCAGGTTTATTAAATGGTCTACTTGGAATGAGTTGCTCTGTCTTTAAATTCCTTGATTACATAGTGGCTAAGTATATTGCATTGAAAATTCCAGTATATACAATGGCTGGAGCTGGGGATTGAAGCCAGGGCCTCATGCATGCTACGAAAGCACTATATCATTGAGTTACACTCCCAGCCCATAACCATGGAGTTTTAAATTTGAAATATTCCAGTCTTTTTTAAAAAAATTATTTTGAGCAGGGTCTCGCTAAGTTGCTTAGGGCCTTGCTAAATTGAGGCTGACCTTGAACTTGTGATGTGCCTGCCTCAGCCTCCTGAGTTGCTGGGATTATAGGCATGCCCAAACTTTAAAACTTGGACAGAATTAAAATAATAAGAACTTGAAGATCTCTTCTACATTAACAGGAGAATAGATAAAGAAATTGTGCTGTATTCTGCAAGTGAATGGTATGCCCTGGTTAAAAAGCAAATGAGCTCTTGCCAGGCATGGTGGTGCACACTAGTAATCCCAGCAGCTTGAGAAGCTGAGGAAGGAGGATTACAAATTCAAAGCCAACCTCTGCAATTTAGGGAAGTCCTAAGCAATTTATCGAGGCCCTAAGTAATTTAGCTAAATAAAAAATGAAAAGGGCTGGGGATGTGGCTCAGTGGTTAAGTCTCCCTGGGATCAATCCTCAGTACCCTCCCCCCCCAAAAAAAAAATTAAATGAGCTCTAACACATATATTAATATCAACATGGATAAATAAAAACATAAGTTAATAAAGGAAGTTGTAGAAGTATTAAAAATACATTTTGAGAAATCTGCTTTAAGATATTGTTTATTAGAACTCTGTGGAGAGCTGAGAGAGATGCTCAGCTTTAAGCAGCATTCCAGGAGGAGAAAACCACTCAAAATAGAGAGAGCTGGGTTCCCCTCATCAACGTCCTCCTGGAACTGCACAGGGTGTGGTGGAGAGGAGCCTTTTGAATGTAACCCTTGAGTGATTTGTTCCTCTACTTCCTGGTGCAGGCAGTAGTTCTATTGTTTGTCCTCTAGGTGGAGCTCTAATAAACTGGGAACTGGGGTACAATATAAGAGGACTGTTTCATTTTGAGGCCACCTCTAACATTTGGGGTAGCAGGGACCCTTTCCCAATGCAGTGAGTGTCAGAAAAGCTTACTGATGACAGGGAGACTGTGAGGCAGGTGGCATCTGTAGCCACAGCTACAGCCAGAAAGGATATCATCTGCCTCATTAGTGTATGTTCTAGTTGATCACTCCCTCTTTCTTCCTTCACTTTGCTTTCAGACTCCTCATGGACTCTTCTAGTTTTCTTCTTATTTCACTGCCTGTGTTATATACAGCCTTTTCCATCTCAGTAAGTGGAAATTCCATTTTTGGTCCAAACTTTAACATTTTCCTGACATGCATATACCACATGAAAATCATCAAATCCTGTCAACCCTACTTTCAAAACACTGCCAGAAATCTAACCACTTCTTTCAGTAGCCAGGTTCCTATGTCACTACTCTGCTCAAAACCACCAGTGCTGCATCATCTCACAGAGATTGTCATCTATGACCAGGTCCTGTATTACCTAGCTGATTCTATTTCCCATCACTCTCTCCCTTTCTGAGTTTCACTAATCCATGCTGTCCCTCAAATGTACTGATATTGGTCCCATCTCAAGATCTTTACATTTGTGGTCACTCTGGCTGGGATACTCTTTTCCCATATACCCATATACCATATATGTGGCTTGCTCCCTCACCTCCTTCAGATTGCAACTGAAACAGTATCTATATTGGAGAGATCTGCTTTGACATTCCCATCTAACATAGCAGCCCTGCCACCATCCTCTGCTTGAGTCCCTCGTCCTCCTCCTCGGTGTAATTTCTTATTTCTATAGAGCACCCATTATCATCTGGACATATTTCTTTATTGTCTGTCTCTCCACCAGAATGTAAGCTTGATGAGGGAACATTTTGTTCATTTGTTTCCCCAGAGTGTAGAATAGTGTTTGGCACACAGTGAACATGAAGTAAATATTATTGCATGAATTACTGACCTAACTCTATGTTGCACGTGGAAAGAGACCAAGGAAAGAGAATGGGTCTTGGAAGTTTGGGCAGAGGAGGCCTTGGAAGGGCCACTGAGAAACGAACACACATGAGACCCAGCTGAGCAGCCTTAAAAGAAGCAAACAAACCAGGAAGCATTAGAATTCTGGTGATTTCTCTGCAGAAGAGTCTCTACAAATCAGAAATTGCTGCTGGTTCTTAGAAACCTGAGAAATGTGGTCTCAGTGTGATGAGTTTCGGGTTTGACATATTTCGACCATATTAACGCAGGGATGGATTTTACAGGAAAAACTGGAGATCTATGAGCATTCGTCTTGGGTGAGGGGCCAAAGTGGGCAAAGAGCCAGCATTTTGAATCTGAGAGAGAGCACAAACTGCAGGTTCTTCAGTGCACTATCGATGGCATCATTCTGACCCCTGGTGGTGGTACAGCTACACTGCAAGGGGAGACAAATACCTTGAAGATGAGAAAGCAAAACCAAAAGTTCAAAGTAATATCTTTCAAAGTGTGTTCCAACCATTATCGTTGGGGTGTCCAGCTGGGATCCAGGTCCTTGGTGTCTCGAACAAATAATTGAGCAAGACACAAACAAGTAACAGGCAAAGTACAGAGTTGTTGAAAATG